AAGCGGTGCCACACAAAAGCTGTTTAATGAAACCTTTTCCTTGCCTATGATGTAAGGACCTGAGGGTGACAGATGTGGTGGATGGGAACAGCGCAAACACCGTGAGATGTAATGATAATACAAGTGCAGTCTCTGGAAACATAGTTTTTGCAGAAAATTACTTAAATGCCTCCTTATAATTTTTCTTTTGTGACTCAGACATTGCTTGAAATGTCCAAGGCCAGATTGGATGGGACTTGGAGCACTCTGGGGTAGCAGAAGCTGTCCCTGCCCATGGCAGGGGTGGGATGGGCTTTAGGGTCCTTTCAACCCAAACCTTTCTGGAATTCCATGTTCTAATTATTCCTGAATTACAGCAGAAGGTCTAAAGCTGGTTTTGATGAGCCCAGGTTGAAAATCCAAGGTGTCATAATTTAAGATTGTGTTAAAAGATAATTTGTTACCAACCACACTCCAAATAAAATTCAGCATTCAATTGCTTTATGTCCAGTAGGATTTACAGTACACTTGGCATATGATCATCACAGAATATTTTAATATAATATATTTTAATATAATAATATTGCATCTCACTGGGGCCCTCTGCTGCAGTTTGGATGAGTGCAGATACACTGTGTTTTCCAGGGCAGTGTTTGGCCACCAAGTGGTTTGTGGGCTGGTAGGAGAAAAGTCCTTTGAAGGATCCCTAAACAAATCCCAATTCCCTAAACAATAATAATAAAAAAAAAAATCCCTAGAAGTTCCTGGGACATTCCACAGTCCCAGCAGTGGAGGGGGCAGTGGACAGTGGAGTTGTTCCCCTGGGCAGTGTGAAAGGCTCTGCCAAGGGACATTTTGGGATGAAAGCACAAGGCATTCGTGGATTCATCCTAAGACTGTTTAGGAATACTTTGAATTCCATGATGAAACACGCCAAAAGCAGCCGTGGCAATGCAGTGTGTCACAAACAGAGCGTCACCAAGGGCCCAGCGCTGCATTTCCAGGCTGCTCCTTGTTGCAGTGACACAGGACACACAGCCAGAGACACTCAGCAGGACTGGCAGGGGAACTCCTGCCCCAGAGCCACCGCCTGGCTCAGCTCCGGCAGCTGCAGGGGGCTGGGAATTGCCCCGGGAATTGCATCATGGTGTTAATGCCGTGATATTAATGAACTGTTTGACCTCGGGCGTCCTTGTGATGCCTTCACTTTGAGCTTTCCTGTTTTCCAGACTCTGTACTGCATTTATCACTCTGAACTTCATGTAAAGTGTTATCAAATTCTCCTCACAGCTCAGGCACACAGAACAATCCTTCTCCAGCCCAGAACCAGCTCAGGCACACTGAACAATCCTTCTCCAGCCCAGAACCAAGGACACGCTGCAGCTTCAGCCCAAAAAGTGCAAACAACAGGAATGGAGGAGAGCAGCCTGGGAGGGTGGGACTGCATCACCTGGAGCTGGAATTGGACAATGAACCCCAACATGGAAATGGACCCAAACTCATAAAAATGTCAAAACTCGTGAGCAGGAGCCCACCTGGGGTGGAGCCACTGGCGGGCTCTGGCACTGCCCAAGGTGTATCCTGTGAAGGCCTTTCCATAAATCCCTGCTTTATTCCCATGGCTCTGCCCAGCCTCACTTTACACTTCATTGCCATCCCAGTTCAGTCTCAGAATTCATTAATGCCAGCCAAATACAACCGTGAATCTGGACTTAAAATAATCCCTGGCTGCTCTCTGTCCCAGGCTCTTCCTCGGGCTGCTGAAATAGCCCTCACACGTCACCCGACCAAAGGTTCACTGGGCTATTCTGGGATATTCAAATAGGAAAGGGCTTTGTGATCCCCTCTGCTGAGGGATCTGCAGTCATGCTGCCCAAGCTCTGACATAAATCCCACCAGAGATAACCCAGCTCTCCGAAATCCCACCTCCCTGTGCTACCAACATCTCCCAGGAGCCATTTCCACCAACTCCCTTAGATCAGGAGTTCGCAGGGAAACAGATATTAAAATGATAAACTGCCTTTTCTTCTGGTTTCATGGCTTTCCATCAAACCTGAAAGAGAATTAGATATCATGGGTTTCCAAATTAAACCATCAGGGCTGGATGACTGTCCACGGAATAAACTGCAAAGTGTCCAAGACAGGGACAGGGACAGGAACTGGGATAGGGACAGGAACTGGGATAGCGACGGGAACTAGGATAGGGACAGGGACAGGACAGAAACAGGGACAGGAATAGGAACAGGACAGCGACAGGGACACGAAAAGGGCCCAGGCCCGGGCCCCGGCCCGCTGCAATGAGGCAGTGGGAGCGGCAGGGGCGGTAGAGAGTGCAGGCCCGCGGGTGCTGCCGCTCTGGCCGCCGGAGGCCTCGTTCTCTATGGCCCTGGAGGCCTGGCTCTCTGTGACCCTGGAGGACTGGTTCTCCATGACCCTGGAGGCCTGGCTCTCCATGGCCCTGGAGG